AATATAAAGTTGTTTCTTAAATACATATATTTCGTCTGTTTTTATGTACATGTTGGTGTATATATGTATGTATTGCATGGGAATATATTTATATGGTATTTTGTAGGTTTGCAGTTGCATATATTCAACATTAAATATATGCTACCTAAATTCAAGACAAATGATGTATAATTATATGTGAGTTTCTTTATGTGTTGAGGTTATATATACTTTTCAAATTTTTTTCATTTTATATGTTTGAAAAGAATTGATATTGTTTCCCTTTGTTGAGGTAGGGGGAACAAACTACAAAAAAAGTAAAAGTAAAATAGAGTTAAAAATATCATTTTTGTTAAATCTATCTATCTATATATATAAAAATTAAAAATAATAAGCTTTTGGCAAATGACACACACACAAAAGATTTTTTTCCTACTTTCTTGTAGAATACAAGTTTATCTATAAATTGCTTGTGTAATTACATAAAAATTCATATACAAATTCATGGATGTGAAAAGAATTCATGCTAAAATATGGCCTCTCTAAACACAATTCTTCTATATATCTCCAACATTTATATAACACTAATATAGTAACCATATCTACAGAAATTTTATTAGGGAGAAAGGTAAGTATTATTAATATTGAAATGAGGACAAATTTCCCTAGAAAAGCTCAGTAAGAGTCCCATGCAATCTCATTAATTGCATTCTTGCAAATCTTTACATGAAAATAAATGACAATTCTATGTGATTAAAAAAAAATATTCCTCAAAATAGGCTATTGACATCTTCCCATATTAATTCTGCTAAAACAATTACAAGCTTGGCTAATCTTAAAGTTGGCCAAAAACAGGGTTAATATAGTTATATAGTTAATAGATTGAAATATATAGTTAAGTGATGGTGTAGTTAATGCAGGGATAAATTTATTAAAAATTGGTATATAAATGCTATTTTATTATAAATATTCCAACAATGTAGAAGTAGGTATATTAGAAACTGGAATTTCTTGTATAAATTAATCTTCTAATTTCCTGAACACCCTTACTTCTCAGTAGTAACCTGTTTTCATATTTTACTGGATTTTGTTCCTGAAATGTTGTATATTATATATGTGTGTATATATATATGATGCTACAATATATCAAGTGATGTTGACATCACTGTCACTTACCTATCATTTAGATTCACTTATTGAATATTTTAACTACTCTCATAATTCATAAAAATTAATGCTATTTTCAGATATTTTAAAACAAAACTACCACAGATATGCTCTCTCTATATGTGAATATTTATACATACATATATATTTTTTCATATGTGTATTCTTGTAATACAAATTTTTAGAATTGAAATTATTATACAAAAATAACAAGAGGGACAAAATACAGTTCAAATTTTGTGAATGCCATAACATTGTCTACCAGAAGTTTATGGCTATTGATATAGATAATACTTTTTATGAAGTATCATTTGATCATGTTCTTTGCTTTATCCTTCTCTGGGGAAGAGTATGCAGTATTTTTATTTACTATGCTTTTTTTAACCAAATCATTTGTCAGTTTAGTAGGGTTGTTTGTTTTATTTTAATAATTTTCTAAAATAAATTGTATATTCTAATTCTTAAGATTCTGTTAATTATAGAGTTTATTATCTGCTTTTATACTTTGTTTACAGTATTATATCAATGTATTAATAACAGTCCCCTTGTTTTGCTTTGGTAAATTTCCCAATCTGATTAAAAGATGATTCTAATAGATTTTCATTTACAAGAGTTTTTATTTATGTTTATTGTGCTAATCCAGGTAGAGTTATTTTTTCCATTATTGTGCTCACCTAATTGTTTTCTTTTCTCGATGAATACTTATTAAATCTAAAATATTTCTTGCCTATTGCAACTTATCTCTCTTTATTTGAAATCCCAGGTTTCATTGTTTTCAGAGGTTTTCCCATTCCATCAATTAATATAAGCATTCATATCAATTTAACTTACTGGTTTATACTTTTTTTTTCAAAAGTTGTTTTTCACTAAATAAGTAAATAAATATATTTCTTTGCACTTTATTTTGCCATTGTTTCATTTATCCAGAATTATTACTATAATTTGAGAATTATTTTGTATTACTGTCACAATATCATATTGTTTTATTTTTAATCTGTTAGTATGTGAACTTATTAATATATTTATTTATGTTAATTATCCTCAAAATTGTAGAATTAAACCTACTTATTTAATTAAGTAACATTAATTCCTGAAAACATTGGTAAAACCAATTTCCTAAGGCTTTGTCTGAAGTCATTTGTCTCTGTTTTTATAAGTGAAACTATCTTGCAAAGAGTTATGTGTGTGGGCGTCTTGTTTGGATATCATGAAATTACTTGTGAAGGAAAGTCCCAGCACACACTCACTGACACCCTGCCTAAAGTCAGCACCCATTATTACATTCAAATTATTAACTCATGATGAATTAATCCACTGATTAGGTTATATAGCTCTCATAATCTGCTCATTTTACCACTGGATATTCCTGCACTGTCTCATATGTGAGTTTTGGGGGAACATCTAATGTACAAATCAGAAAATCATGCAAATGATATCTTCTTGGATGGAGCTTTCAAGCATTTTCTATTTTCCATATATTTGAAATAGTTTATATAACATGCAATTTTTGTTTTTACTGAGGGTTTGGTAAAGACTATATTGCATGTGTAAATTGCATGCGATGGTTTTAATAATATTATTTGTAATCACTATAAGGTTATGAGAAAAATGCTTTGGGTTCTGAAATAATTGGTTTTCTAATAAATCTTTAATCTTTATACCCCATAAAGACAAATCATACTGACTTTTTTCCTACTTTTAATTTTTTTTATTAGAGCAAGTATTATTTGGTTTCATTTTGAAAACACAATACATATAAGAAATGTGATTTGAATTCCTATTACCCCCCTTTCCCTCTCCTCCTCCCTCTCACTTTAACCCCTCCTTTACTCTATTGATCTTCCTTTCACTTCCTTTCAACTATTATATTTTACAAATGCCATTTAATGTATTTATATATGTCTATAACATGATTTTGTTAAATTCATTTCTATTTCTTCCCATTTCATTTTTTTCCTAACTTCCTCTCACCCTCCTTCTTCTACTCCATTAATCTCCTCTATATCTTTATGATATCCTGTCCCCTTTCCCAGTGCCTTTTTTCTATATTTTGCTCTAGGTTCCACAGATGAGACAAAACATTTGACTCTTGATTTTCTGTGTTACTTCTTTGACTTAGACAGATTTTCTCCATTTCCATTCATTTACAGGCAAATGCCATTATTTCATTTTTCTTTACAGCAGAGTAAAATTACATTATGTATAACTAAGATTTTTTTTTGTCCCATTATCTATTAATGGGCATCTGAGCTGATTCCATAATTTGGCTAGTGTGAATTATGCTGTCATAAGCATTGAAGTAGCTATATCTCTGTAGTATGGTGATTTAAGCTCTTTTGGGTAAGCTCTCTTGGTATTACCAAGGCATTGGATAGCTGCGTCTTATGGTGGTTCCACTCCTGTTTTTTTTTTTTTTTTTCTTTTTAGGAATCTCCACACTGCTTTTCATAGAGAGTGTACTAATTAATATTCAGCCCCACCAGCAATGTAAGAATGAACCCTTTACCCTTATATCCTCATTAGCATTTATTATTATTCAGGTTCTTGATAATTGCTATCCTGACTATAGTGAGATGAAACCTTAGTGTAGTTTTGATAGGAAGACAGAAATATTTGTAAAAAAATAAAGTTTAAAATATAATTTCTAAAACAATCAAACAAACAGAAACCTCATCTAAAACACTAATAAGTGATGATACTCTTTACCAGAAAATTAAAAAGATGTTTTTAAAATCAATAAAACTGCACTGGAGGTACAGTTCAATGGTAGAGCACATTCTTTGCAAGCTGAAGCTGTGGGTTCAACCCTCAGCACTGAATGTGAAAAGAGAGCAAGCAAAAGAAAAGAACAAACTGCATCCTTTTCAACCATGAGATATGACTAGATATCCAGATTTGTCCTGCCATTTTCAACCAATATCATCCATGTTTATCTATTTACTAAGAATGAAGCTAGTAAGGATACAAATGTGACGTGACTCGTGACTCTTTTATTCACAGTGCATTCAAATTTACTATAAATTAGAGCAAATCTTGAGTAATCATAGACTAATTCTGAAGAACACTTTAATCAAATCGTGGAAACTATTACAATCAGATGAAACATTTATTTTATGATTTCCTTTTGGCAAAATATATTCCTTACAAATAGGATCATACTGCAACATTACAAAAGATTAACAGGGGTTTTATTAATTTTACAATCTCTATCTGCCTCTATATCTGGAAATTACCAAAATTCTCTCAAAGCTTCACATCGGATGGCTGCTAATACTGCAAATGTTGGGAAAATACAGTAATTTTTCTTTCTCTGAGATTTAGTTAACTTTTGCATCACTGTAATCACAGTACCCCTCAAGAACAACTTAGAGGAGGATAAGTTTATTTGGTGTTTATGGTTTCAAATATCTCAGTCCTTAGATGGAAGGCTCTATGGTCTGCTCAAGTGGCACATGATGGGAGAAGAAGCCACCAGAGGAAAGTTGCTTAGCTCATGGAAGAGTCAAGAGGCAGATGTCAGGGAGGGATCTCTGGAATGTGCACCCTTCCAGGGTCATATTGCCCAGTGACCCACCTCCATCTACCACACACCACCTGTTTACACTTACCACCCAATCATTTCATTCAAACTAGAAAGGACTGATTAAGTTATAGCTCTCACAATCCAATCTATGAATCTTCCTGCATTAACATGAATTATAGAGGGACATCTTATATTCAAACAATAATACTAAATTCATTAGTCAAGGATCAAATGAATACTTAGCATACATGGACAACTATTATATTTTACAAATGCCAAAACTTTTGCCTTTTATCTCCATTGGTTTTGTTGAACTTTTCTTTTTCTTTTTTAAAATACGGAACACTTCACGAATTTGTGTGTCATCTGTGTGTGGGAACCATGTTAGTCTTCTCTGTGTCACTCCAATTTTAGTATATACGCTGCTGAATTAAGCAGCTGTTGAACTTTTCTTAAAGGTGTTTTAAGCAGTTAAATATTCTGCTCAATACATGCAAATCCTGTGGGGAAAAGTTAGGTTTCTTAATGCTCAAAAGCTAATATTATTTTCCAATGTGTAAAATTATTATTAGTAATGATACACAAATAATGTGATAAAGCTTGATGTTGCTTGAGTTGCATTAAATTTACACTCAGATTTTTTTTGTCTGATAAAAATAAACAATGTATCTTATCTGACTTCATGACATTGACTTGTGAATACTTTTTTGCTCTAAACTTTGATGCATTGTTTGCTAGCATAACATATGCTTGGACAAGTTAGAAACTGAAGGATATGCTAGATTTTTAAAAACTTGAAAAATAAATTCTTTGAAATCAGAAAAGCAGTATAAATTCCATACTATATAAATAATTTTCAACTATTTAAAAACACTTGGTTTACAGTAGTTGAAACTTCTTGAAAAACACACAAAAATATACTTTCCATTATATACTATATGAATTTATAACCCCAGATCCATGATGGAACTCTGGAAACAACACATTGGCATTAAATTTTATCTCAGAGATTATAAAGAGAAGGAAAAAAACATTTATTTTTGTAGTCCTAATAGATGGAATTATGCATTTGCTTTATTCAAAGATAGTATCAAATAATTAAGAGAACCAGCTAATACAACTATTTCACCCAACTAGAAATTATTTCTGAATATTCTAAACATTATTCTAACTAATTTCATGTCTGAAATAGAGTATGTAGTCACTCTATTTTATCAAATATTATTGAACAGTATTCCATTTTATAAATGTCATTTTAAGATTTTGCATAAAATGATGAAAGTAAAATTCAATGAGCTATATTGTTAATTGAAGACACTGAAGCTTCCAAAAATAAACAGAACAGTTCTTCAGGACTTAAGTTTTGCTTAAATTGAACAACATTGCTGGTCATATGAATTCAGTAGTAATTGGTAATTAACCCTGAAGACTGGGTGACTAGAAGGTTGATTACACATAGCATATTGCTACTGAGCTGCAATTTGTTACCAATGACCTCTTTGCTTCTTAGTGAAATTTTAAGTATAGATTTCTGTTTCTAAACTCTGATATGTTTTGGGACTCAGTTACCTTGGAGATTGTGTCTCTACCCTTGCCAGAAAAAGGATAACTTGAAGATACCAGTTTTACAGTTCAGAACAATTGAGAAAATAACAGGTTTTCCTTTGAAATACACTGATAGTTCAAGATCTCTTCTATAGATTGAAACAATATTGTCTTCTATAGATTGATATCACATCATCAACAGCTGTGTATCACTGTTAAATGACAGACTGCATTGATTCAATGCAAATTGTGACCAGGACTTTGCCTAAAGCTTTTGTAGAGGATCTCTCGTAATCTCCATAATAAATAATGAATAAATAAACCAAAAGTGCACAACTAAGGACCTCCCTTTTACAAATGAGAAAATTGACCTTGTTGAACACAGTCTTTTAGGTGTCAGAATTTCCAGTCTATTTTACAGTATACATTATCAGAAAAATCCTTCCTACCTCTTACCTCACATGTAAAACATGTGAGTATGTAAATTAACCCTTACGATAAATGTTTCCCTAAATTTTCATGTGATTATACTATGTTATCGTATATATGGACTTTTACTGCCTATGAAAAAATAGTAATATTAAATTTAATGTATTTATTGAGGAATGATTAGAATATCACTTGCTTTCAGAAGAAAAATGTATTCATATTGTGAGAAGATATTTAACTATCATTTTGAATCATATCTGAATAAATAATATACTTGCTTTCTTTTACATAAATCATCTCACTGTAAAAGTATGTCAACTTGTCCCTAAGTTTCATGACATACATTTTTATTTTAACAAAACACAGCATGTTATACTGATATGGGAGGTCTTAAGCACTGAGATTTCTTTTACATGTATTCAAATATCGTTCAAGATGTTTTTTGTAAGAGTGTATTTAGGTGAAGTTAGCATTTCAATTAGTGGACCCAGTAAAGCAGTCTGCCTTCTACAATGTGAGTAGACCACATCAGTTGAAGGTTCAAAAGAACAAAAGATTGAATGTCCTTGGTCATGAAGGAGTTCTGCAGCAGATGGCCTTGGTAGACTTTCTCCCGCACCAGCCTGCCTGCTCCCACAGCAGATTTTAGACTTGCCATTCTCCATTATCACATGAGCCAATTCTCAAAAATAAATCTGTTTCTATAAATGTACAAACCTATTGGTTCTGTTTCTCTGGAGAATTCTTTCCTTTTATTATAATAGTCTGTGTCTGTGTTGTAAAATTCTTGATTGAATGTTTGAGATGTGTTTCAATTTTATCAATCTTGGAAAAAACAATGTGGTTTTCTTGAAGTCAAAACAGATTAGAATAGTGGCCCTGATTTTGGAGTGGACACATACTGTGCAGAGATGATAGAGGGGAAAGTAAAAACAACAATGAGAAAAAATTAAAGCAAACGAGTCAAGCAAAGACATATTACAATCATGTATAGAGTAAAACATCGAATTTCTTTGTGGGTTATATGGGATAAATTCAACTCAAAATTGTCCATGGAAGAGAGAATTTAGGATAAAAGGACACTCAGCTGCCTTCTTTTTCATATTTTTGACTCAATAAGATTAAGTGTACAGGGAGGCAGAGATCCCAGATTAAATGGGAGCACTGCATGTTGAATTAGGAAGTTACGAATTTGGTGCCCAATAATATACTATTTAATTCAAGTTCAAGAGTGTGTGGGAATATGAACTTGGAATCCCAAAGAAAGATTAGATAAGAAGACATTGAGGAAATGAAATGATCACACAGACAGAACCTTGCAAAATTCTATCTCTTCCATGTGTCATTTAGATATTTGTATCATGACCTTCAATATAATCTTGGTTATTTATGGTCTACATTTCCCCTAAGTGTAGTAGTTACCCCACTTAATCACCATGAAGTAATTTCTGATCAGATTTTCCTTCAAGAGACTAGCCAATCAATTTTGCTTAGAAAACACAGTAGAAGAGGCTCATCTTCAGCTATCAATTTGGCTCCTCTGGTTTATTTGGTAGTGTGATCAAGATCATCATCTCCAAAGGGTTTGGTCTTTTGGTTGCACCTTGGATAGTGAGAACCAGGCAGAAACCTGTGATTCCATCATCTCCCAGTTATGGCTATATTCTTTTATTACCTTGGCCAACACAATTACTCCTTTTTGGCCTAATTGACCCCAAAAGACACAGCTTTAAAATTAGTAGAAGGTAATATTGTGTCCCTAAGCAGAATTCATAATTCCAGTTTTAGGAAAACAGAGATCATAATCCAGAAGAATATAATGTTGGAGTAGGAAGAAAAATTCCAAAAATGTGTCTCCAACTGTGATTTTGAGAGGGAGACTTTCCACCCTTCCTTCAATCCTTTGGTCTTGCCAGGTGTCTTTTATAGCTAGAGTAACGTTTCATATATTGAGATTTTTTATTCAAGGTGTTACAAGATCCAAGAGTTATGCTTCATAAATTGATACTAGTTGTTAGGGTTTGTAAACAAGTCAGGATGGCGCCTGGCATTTTGCCAGAGGGAGTGGTTTGTGAAGGCGCCAGCAAGCCATTAAGTGTGGAGATTCCTTATTGGTTGACTGCTGTATCTAGTTTATGTTAATTAAGATAAGCTGTGTGTAATGTATATATACCCCTCCTCTCCTATAATAAACAGCTCCCACTCCTGCTGTATCAATCTACACAAATTCCTCGTCACCCCCCAGTTATTTTGCTGCAGTTGGACAAGTGTTTTAAATGATGTTCAACATTATAGTCCAAGAGGGTATCCCCAAGAGTTAGGGTTCATAGTAAGACCTATAGAAAGAAGTCCATTTCTACACATTGATTGCAGTCTGTATTTGTACAAAGATACAGTGATACAAAGGGCATTTAAAAATGTTGTGCTGGTGAAGATACTGTACATAGAGCAATCCCATTTATTGAGTCCATGTCAACTCTTATAAGAAAAAAGTCACTGTTTCCTCATAGTTAGAGTTGATCAAATATAAATGCTTTTCTTCAAGTGGCTATCAGGCTCCACCAAAATGGTTCCATTTTGAGGCTCAGTACCTGCCTTCGGCTTTTGGAAATTAAGCAATAATTTAAGCAGTACTTAAATCAAGTGTCACTGAGGAAACTACCTTGTTTTTGGAACCATAAATATTTTCCATCCCTGTCCCCATAATTTCTCTGCTCATGGAATTGTGGGAGATTTGACAGAAAAGCTGTCTGACAATCAAAATATAGGTGATGCTAACAGATGGTTCTACAAAAGTTGCTTTCTTATGTGACTACTGTGACATGAAAAATTCCCATAGTTCATACCACTCCCACAGTTGGTTCACATTTTCATTCCCTGAGACTTGTCAATGATGCTATCTTCTTTATTTCAGTCCCTGATGAAATAGTCTTGAAGTTATACACAATCCAGAAATTTACCTATATGGAAACTCCTGTCTTCTTTCAGCTATACAAAATGAATAGGTAAGTGGGCTCCTCAGATCTCTCCTCATGTGAAGAATTTTTTTCATCATTATGTTTCCTTAAGTGGGGCCATTTTGCATCTATGTTATTCAATCTGCCTCATATCAATATACTGTGAAGACATACATGTGGAGCTGATTCAAGTCATTTCCTTTTGTATAAATTGGCTTGGGGAGAACTTTGCCAAAGCTCTAGGTATGGATTAAAGATGAAAGTGGCAGTGGGGTGGGGAAGTTGTCATGGGAATTTGCTCCTGCAGTTTCCTTGGATCTGCTTAAGTCTGAGTTAAGCAATGGGTTACTGTCATACAGACTGTTTTACAAACATGGCTGGTGAGAGAAAACTTAGTTTCTGATGAGAAGCTTTAGGTCTCAACATCAATTTTTGAATCTTGGTAGAATGTCTTTCTCTTTTTGGATCTAAGAACATCCCAGATGCTGCCAACAAAGAGTAGTTCTC